TAGATAGATAGATAGATAGATAGATAGATAGATAGATAGATAGATAGATAGATAGATAGATAGATAGATAGATAGATAGATAGATGTGTCTTTTATTTTGTATGATGTCAAACATTCAGACCACAATGGCCAAGCAAAACTTAATACTACTGCAGTTCTTGTCATAAAGCTGATCTGCTTGGTGCTTATTGGTGAGTATGTATCACCATCTAAAGGGGAGGAAAAGAACTGCTAGAGCCCATATTAACTGTAGTACAGTAAAATTACATTTAGGCATATATAAATAGAGATAGATGGATAGATACTATATATAGAAATGACAAGTAGCATCAAATGTATTTGCAACCTGTAATATATGTTTGTGTGTTTGATAGTAAGTTCAAAAACAAAAACACAGAATAGGAAGCTTGGAAATAATGAAAGTATTGTTTTGTATAAGTTTAAGTTTTGTCACCATTTTCTTCCTTTTATGGAAATATGAAAACTGTATTTGTAGCATCCAAGAGTTTGTTCACTCATTACAGTACAGTATGTGCTCCTGAAGCTATCCCCATAGGATGTCCTAGTTAAATGACTTCTTAGTGTACACAAAACACTTGGGAAACGTCCATGTACCCTTGCGCAGCTTCAAGATGATAAAGAGGTGATTCAGTGTTCCATGACCAGAATGAAAACTTGATTGTTCCTCCTCGACCTCATATTCAACTGTTGGATAGACTGTCCTTTCCAGGAGTTCCAGCACCCTGGCATAGACCTTCTCAGGTAGGATGAAAAGGGTGAACACTAGAAGATCAAGCCCTCTGTTCTTGATTCCTGAAAATCCCGGTCTGCCAAGGATATATTCATGACAAAAGCATGTCTCCCAGGACAACCCTACAACATTAAGAGTCTTTAGGAAAGGTTGACCCCAGATTTTTATTTACAGTAGAACCTGGAATGTAAACATGTACTGCATTTCTTTATGTGTAGTCTCTGCAAACTACCAGCAGGAGGTACCATCAGGCCCAAAAAAAAAAAAAACTGGCTGAAATTTGATTTTAAAAAATAACTTTTCACATCTTTTTATGGACAAAAAAGTGTATATTTCAGTATTTATTATTTTAGTTTAATTAGATATTGACCAATCTCAATATTACCAGTCTTCTCTTCACCACAAATAACCTAAAATTAGACCCAATCAGACTCCATTCAAGCTATCTGTACATTTTCACAGAAACTAAAGATATATTAATATTTTGATAGAATAAATGTGAATATCTTCAACACAAAATAATTTCAGTTTTATTTCCAAAACAAGTGTCCTACAAATCCTCTTTTTGACCAGATATAGAGTTTGGAATTTGGTGACACCTTTGAAGACTAAAAAGCTCAACTGAAAAAAATAAGTGTTAGGAAAAAAGAAAATTCAGTGAATTAGGAAAAGTGACTTGCCTAAATAGGTTCATTTTCTCACTGTGTATTCCACCCACAGTGCTGTTGATTCTGTAAGTGTGCAGGTGCAAATTGTTTCTTGTATTCTGTTGATCTGCTGAAGAAAGCCTGAACTTTTTGCGTGATTGTGTAAAAGTGTCAGTTTTCACTGGTGATTCTGTGGGGAGGAGGGGCAAGGATGAAGAAAGCAGAGAAGCTGAGCGAGTGATGCCATTGACATCAAATGCTTTACAGTCAGAGATGTAGGCATCGATAACATCCTCTCTCGAAGAAAATCCTGCCTGCAGGTGACCTCACGGCAATCCTGTTGTTTCCAGTCGGCCAATCATAGCCTTCCTCTGCCTGGACAGGGTGTGATAACTTTTCCAGCTGGGCCTGACTGCAAAGTCTGTCTCTGCTAGCATTGATGTCCCAGCAGATCCCCCTCCTGAAAGGAGCAAACTAAAGACCAGGACCCTCTGAGAGCTACAGCATCGCTGTCATGGACTCTAGCAATGGCACTCTAGAGCTGCTGGGGGTTGGTTTAGCAATAGTGGCCTGGATCTGTTCCCTGACCACCATCCTGATGCCTTCATGGATCACACTGTCTACAGACCTGCTTCCCACTGAGGAAACTAACATGGGCCTCTGGGTGACCTGTGTGAGCCAGGAAGCGACGGATAAGCTGGAGTGCCGGCCCTATGACAGCATGTTTGAACTGCCACCAGACATTATACTGGCCCGGATTCTCATGTCCTTGGTGCTGGGGGTGGGATTGTTGGGTGTGCTGCTGGCCATCCCCGGTATCCGCCTGGTTAATGGCTGCCAAAACCACCTGGATGACTTTAGCTGTAAGAGGGCGCTGAAGGCAATAGGCGGGGCACTGTGCCTGGTAACAGGGATCCTGGGCCTTATCCCGGTCTCTTACGTCGCCCACCTGACGCTTGTGAGATTCTTCGACGAGACAGTGCCTCAGATTGTCCCTCGCTGGGAGTTCGGCTATGCTCTGTTCTGTGGCTGGATTGCAGGCATCCTCCACCTGGTGGCAGGAACGCTGCTGCTGATTTCCTGTCTTCATTTCCAGAAGCTGGACAGTCCTGTGCACATCCCTCTGGGCATTGTGACACCAGGACCCAATTTTGAAAGAACCAGGACTGAGTATGTGTGAGAGTGCCTTCCAACATTCATTGTTCTGGTCCCTAGAAGTAGAAGACCCCACCCACCCAACTACGATGAACAGTTCTAAGTATGTCTGAGATACTCCAGCAGAAACACTTCTGTCCCACTTCTATCTAAGTCCCTATATTGAGGTTACCTTTCAAATCAAGGGTATCACTCCAAACCTGTAAGTTTTTTCGAGTGTTCTGAATTGAGCCATTTCAGATAGATTCACAAAGAGTAAAGTTTAACATTTTCTGGATCAGAGACCAAACATGGGACTAACTGAATTTGAATGAAACTCTCAGGATTGAAACTTTCACCAAATTAAGACTAATTCCGACTTCAAATCTTTTTTTTTTTTTTCAAGGTAAAAGTAGCATCCAGGAGAAATAGGTTTTTACTTTTTAACTCCCTAATTGGTTTCAACAGAAAAATTTGAGTGAAAATTTGTTTTCCTGCTTTAAACTGGACTACAGCTAGACACATGCATTACTCACCTTAAATGTGATAAACAACAAATGTGTCCAGCTGTGAATAAGGCCTGTGTTTCTAAGATTACATTTTTAAAAAAGATTTAGAAAGCCAACTCATTTGTTAGACACTGCAGACTGTCAGGATCAATGAGAAATGTTCCAAAGTCAGAATAAGAACTAGAGGAAGAAAATAAAACTAGTTTAGATTCATTATTTCTCTCAGTGAGGTTCTAAACAATGCTCAGACTATTGAAAATACTTATTTCACAGATGAGTGCTGAAAACCAGTCAGACATTCAGTGGTTTAAAATCTAGTAGTAGTAGAGTCATGCACTTTGGAAACTGGATTTGACCCTATGTATTTTTTTAAAAAGCTGATTTTTTTATAAGCTACTATATAGAGTAAAAATGATTACAAAGTTTCACCTGACTGAAACACACAAAGTTTGGAAAACCCTTGCACCTTTGAAACAGTTTAAAGTGTAAAACTCACCAATTCAGAGCTACATTTAGAAATAAGAATTTTAATGCAACTTTATTTTCTTTCTCTTTACAATTTTAAAGCAGCAAAAATATATTTCTTAAAAAGTAAATTTGTTTGTGGTGTTTGTTTTGTTTGTTTTGGGGAGTAATTTTTATTTTTACTAAATATTTCCCTTAGACTGAAATCACCATTTGTCACAAAATTTCGAAACTGCCAAATGCATCCACAGTTTTAAACTCTGAACTTCTCTGAAGGAAAACATTTTTACTTCTGTTTAGTTCTGGTTTAGTTAGACTTCTTGGATATTTGAGCAATGGAAACGTATATGATGCAGATTAACTTTAAAACGTTTCCCCACTTCAGAGAGTTTTACTGGCTTTTCTGTGTTTCATTAACTGACATGTTTGCTTTAGATTTCCTGGAGCCAAAGAGACCAGATCTCCTGAAGTTTCTTGCTATATTTAGTTCATTTAAATACTTTATGAGCTTTTAATTATGAATCCAAAAAGTGGGGTTGTTTTTTTTTTTCACTTTTAAGCACTTTTTATTGGTTAAGTCTTCTATAAAATCAAAGATTTATTGACTATAGAATGTAATGAAGATTTATATTTCCTCCTCAAAGAAAAACATATATTTTATATGCATATTTTAACGCACATTTTGCTGAAATAAAAGAATGACTTGTAAAGATGATGAAAGCTCTTAATTTGAGCAGCAGATCACTGTTTATAGTCAATAAAGACAGAAAAGTTAGATAGATAGACGGATTAAATTGTGAGAGAGGACTCATTAAACCCTGCAATGTAACATGGATGTACAGACAAACTAACACTGATTACTGTGACATAGATGGAAATAAAACTGAAATTTAAGGCAAATATGCTCATAAATAAATGCTCACAAGTTAAGATTGAAACTGGCTTAATAAAATTAAAAAGGACTAAAATTAATGAATAAAAAAAAAGCAATATATTGGGAAAGTAACTAAAACTCAAAAGTGTGAGTTAAATAATCCTTGTCTTCACACACTCCTCTCCTCCCTTGAGTCTTCAAGGAACTGCTGACTTCCTTATCAGTTCAGTTTGAAATCAAACCCTGGTGAGAAAACACAGGGGCGTGGGCAGCCATACAAATAGATGGATATACAGACACCCAGGTGGTTACATGAGGAGTAGATGCACGGTCACTTTCAGGCCAAAAATAAAACTGTGGGAAAAGGAGAGAATAGAATTGGAGAGTTCTCAGTGTACCAGCCATTTCTAAGGAGACACACAGGGACACACAATAACAATTGGACATGAATAAGCCAACTCTAAATTTCTAGAGCACATACAGAAGAAAGGGGAAAAAGTGATGTGGTTAAAGTTTCCATACACTCACCATGGGCTTAAATTTCATGGTAATTTCGCCATTTAACCCATAAGAACCCACCTGTCACCGCACCTTTACTGACTCTCCATAGTTATTTTCTGACAGTAAAAATGAGTCTGGGGTCTTATGGGATTTCTTTGAGTTATTTTTTTCCAGGATGAAATGACTGCACAGCATACAACTTTAATGATTCAAAACGCATTTTGATTTCTTTGGAATTTTCTCTAATCCACACAGAGCCAAAATTATGCATAAAGGGTCAAATATATATTTGATGGAATGTTCTACAATGACCCTCATTTCCCTTATTTCTACAAACATATCTCTTGTCATTGTGACCAAATATTTTATCTGATGATAAAACATTTCTCCAGAAGGTATTTAGCTGGTCCATGATGGCAGCTTCAAATTGAATTCAAGTATGAAGGTGCCTTCTTTCTTCTGTCTTCTTCTTCTTCTAGACCTTTGCAAAGTGATGACCCATAAAAATAATTTGTACTTAATCTACAATAGGTTATGAAGTTGGAATCTCCAGTTATTTAGAATTGGCTCTAAGAAACATTCATAGCTTGTGTAAATCTACAGTTTAACCCCACACGCAGACACACAAAAACTTACTTGTCACTACGTGCACCTTAAAATTCCCATTCCCTCTAAAATTGTAGCCCCCGTCTCTGGTTGAAAAGATCTGGAATATTACTCTAAAAATTATCTGTGCTGTATTGTAATTAAGCAAGTCATGAAGTTTTAATAATTTTGACTTTAAAAATAAGAAATTTGCATTATGAAGATACCAAACTTTGTGTATTATATAAACTGCCCTTTTTTATCATTATTTCCCCATACCTCTACACAGTAAGTTAAATATGGAAGAATTAAAGAACAATACAGTATTTAGAGACAATTATAATCTAGAACAAGTTTAATTTTGTTCATGATTGAGATGCTTTTGTTTTGTATGTATCTGATATAGGGTTTCCAACTGATTTTATTGTCATATATCAAACATCTCCTTTACTATTTCAATTTTTTAATTTTCTACCTGTGTTTGTATCCTATCATTCACTTTATAGTTACCAAATATCATTGCTATTGTTTTGCTAAGATTTAGTGATAATTTATTGCCATCCATACAATTTTGTAACTGTCTTAAATCATTTATACTGACCCTTAGGGGACTCCACAAGCAATTTCCATGTACCAAGATGTAAATTCTCCCATCTTCACAAACTGTTGTCTTCTAGATGAATACATTCTGATCCAGCTTAGTGCCACTCCCCTATTGTACTTTATCTAGTAGTAAAGATTGATTAACTGTATGAAATGTATTCTGCCCTCACTGCTACACTGGATACAGTTATGCAGATAGATAAACTCCTCGACAACTGACAGGTGTATCGTCCCTTTTATTGACACTGCCTTCAATTATCAACAGAGTGAATCTACAAACAGAAGAAAATAAGCAATATTCAGTCTATATATTCACATGATAATGCAAATCAGTTGACTAAACTAGCTAACATTGGAAAGAAAGTAAATCTGAATACAGTACACCTTTAACCATAAAAGTGCATAAATAATAGCAAATATAGTTGCATTAACTCTTGTTCAACTTAAATACTCATAAGCGATGCTTTCTGTAAAACAACGAAGAGGATGGATGCAGATGTTTATCCGAACAACATGCTTAGTCAGTCTTTTCTCAAAGTGTGCTGCATTACTAACTCTGCAGCTAATAACAAACAAATATTGGCATGAAAGAACTGTAGTGACTCTTGCTGGTGGGAAGAAGAACTACACCAGCACACTCCCTGTCTGACATCTATTGGATGTCATCACCATCTTTAAGGATCAATGTCTCTATTAGTATTTCACAGCAGGAGTACAGTCTCTGTCACTGGTCTTAAGAAGGTTTTAGATGTTCCTCCAGAAGTGACCTTTACCTGAATCTTTCTGACATGTCCATCTTGGCTAGGAAAGGTCTCAACAACCACCCCCATGGGCCAGTGGTTTCTTTTAGCTCGACTGTCCTTTAGAAGAACTAGATCTCCCTTTTGAAGATTTTGACTCACAGATTGCCATTTTCTTCGCTCTTGGAGTGTCGGCAGGTATTGTGTTTTCCAACGGTGCCAGAAGACATTTGAAAGATGTTGCACTTGTCTCCATTGGGGTCCGAACAAATATTTATTGTCAAAGTGCCCGGGTGGTGTAGGTGGTACACCTACACCACCCGGGGTGGCAATCTGGATCTGACAAGACTGGTAGTAGCGGTCGAGAGTTTACAATAGTGGTTACCTCTGCTAGAAGGGTAACGAGAAGGGTAACGAGAACCTCATGGGTCAACAGGCGAACTGGGTTGACAGTTAGTCCAGTATGCACTTCCCGATGCCGATCATGCACTCCCACCTTCCTCCCATATGAGAACTATGAGGAGGGTTGAAGATCCATGTGTATTTATTCTTGGATAAAAAGTCTTGAATTTCCTGGTTGTTGCAATGTTTTGAAGTTATTCCGAGCTCCTTGCACACTCCCAGAAAGTTGGTCCCACAGTCGGACCTCAACTGCTTTACTGGTCCTCGGATAGAGATGAATCGTCTCAGAGCATTGATAAAACTAGACGACTCCATCGTCTCGATGACCTCAACATGAATGGCCCTGATGCCCAAGCAGGTGAAGATG